GAAATCATCATCTGAGGATAAATAATCCATTTGATAAGATATCTGTTTTTTATTTTTATTTTGTTGAAAAAATGGGTAATTTTCACTGTGATCCTGTGGAGGATTTGTTTGGAAATTTATTGAATTAGGTTGGGTCATTGGGTTATCCCAATTTCGAGATCTTGTATATTGGTTAAAATTTCTTTGTGGTTGGTTATATGTTTGTGATGGATGTGTATAATTATAATTATGGTCTGTAAAGTTGTTTCTAGTGAATGTTTTGCGTGTTTTTGATGGTATTGTCATGGGTCTGTATGTTTGGTAATCCATATGTGAATATTTAGGGGCAACCGAAGGTTTAACGGTTGATTGTAAGGTTACCTGTGTTTGTGAAGGATTTGTATTTCTTGGTGTTGTTAAATTTGGGCGTATTGGTGAAATACTTTGTTGTGTAGTTGTTGTGTGTACAATTTCTTCATTTATGAAGTGTGATGGTGTCTGGATATCTTGTTGAGTAAGATTCCTAGTTCCATTGAGGTTTTCATTGTGTATAACTGTAGAGTTTAAACTATTATTTTGTGTATCGGGCAAAAATGTATTATAGTTTAATGGTGTTGCATCAATGGTTAATGGTATTACTTTTACATAATCTCTTATGTAAGATATCGTACTTATTGCTTGACTTGAGATTGATTGTGGGAAGCTTATAAATGCGGGATGAGACCATTCGGGGTCCCAAACATAATCTGATTGTTCTGTGATAGCGGTATCATCGTTCGAGTTTTGGGGTCTAAAATTTTTTCTTGCTTGTGCAATTAAATCAATATTGTGTGTGAAATAATCTATTATGAACCATGCCAAAATTTTTTGTAGATCGTGTTTTGTATGTTGTGAAACGTCGTTTTTCGTGAAATTTTCTTTAATGATGTTTAAATAACTAGAGAGTAGTGTGATTTCATGTCGTACTCTTAAATGTTTAGATGTTTCTGTCGGTGAGACATTTGTTATTGGGATTTCGTTTTCTAATATCGAAATATAACTATATATTATTGCGAAAACTTCATTGGTGAATATGGAGTTTGCTCTTTGTGAGTTATGATATTGGATGCTTTTTATATATTCTGAAAAAACTTTTGAAAATTCTAAATCAAGATCGTCTGTTTGAATTGTATATTTTCTATTATTATGGTTTGGTGAGGTGAATTCTATGGAGTAGATTCCATACTGTTGTGTTATGTTGCATATATCTTTTAAGTAGTGGTCTATGATTTGTCTTTTGATTTTTACATCTGGGAACTCTGTTTTACATGGACTAATTCCGGGTTCAAATAAATTTAATAATAAATTTTTGCAAAATATATGCTGTCCTCTATCAGTGGTTGCATCTACGATAAAAGGAAAGATTTCATCATCATCTGGACTTTCTTCACCTGGGGTGTGCGTTGAGCTCATTTTTTCGTTCGATGACTGTTAATATGTAATTATCAATGTGTCTAATTGGTTGATTCCAATTGTATAAATGTACTGGTTTGTGTTTATACTGCTTTTTTATTCTTCTTTTTCCTCTTTTTGAAGAATTTGAAGTTGTTTCTGAGTCAGAAAAATATAATTGATCGTGAAGTGGGCAATTTTTATCTATTGATTCTTTTAGTTTGTAAAGTTCGTCTAAACTGTTGGTTTCTGATTCTGAAAATGCGTTTCGGTTTTTTGAAAATCTTTTTCGTGTTATTTGTCTTTGTTTCGTTATTATTTTTCTTTTTAGTGTTTGTCGTTTTGTTCGAATGTATCCAACTGTTTGTGTATGAGGTGTGATTACAAGGTCGTATTTTTTGTTATCTATTTCACAATTGTGTAAAACGATTGTTTGTTTATTTCCTAGGTTTTTAAATGACATAAGGTTTAGGATGACGGATGCAAAAGGTTGTTAAATGATTTCTATTTTCTTAAACTGTTAGTTCTTACGATTTTTTGGTTAGCTTAACCTGGGTCTGTTTGTTCAGGGTTGGAGAGAAAAGTATATCGATTCCGAAGAATGATTTTTTACTTTCTCGTGGCTAGTATAAGTTAAGGTGTTAACTTACTTAATCTTACTTAGGGGTAGTGATTGTGTTCAAGGGTTGGAGAATAGTAAATCGATCCACAAGGTTCAGGTATAATTAGAACGCGAGTAGTTCGTTAGATACTATTTTAAACTTACTAAGTCTAAGATTTATCCTGGGTCTGGTAAGAGGGGGGGTCAAGTGAAGGATGAATAACCGAAGTTCTTCACTATTTATCCTAATTTGAATGATTAGTTTTGTTTAAAAATTTCTATTAGTCTTAGGTCTTTAGAAAGGGTTGGGTAGTGAATCGACGTTTGAGGTCGTTAGACACTAATTAAGTGGGTGGGGGAGAACAAAGTTGTTCTGTTTGATCCAAGGATAAGCCTTGATGATCAAATTTGAAATTTAATTAAGTAGAAAATGATTTAAGATCCAAGGATAAGCCTTGATGATCTGGTTTTAAAATTAAGTGAATTTAAGTTTTAATAAAATTTTAAATGTGTGTAAAGGAAAGATTTAGTGTTTTGATGATATTAGTGGGTTTATGATTGCTGTTATGTTTTAGATGATGGAGCTGGAACAACAGGATGATTTATGATTACTAACCATTTATTGTCATGCTACTAATTTTTATTTTTTATTTTTCAATAAATATTTTTCAAACATATTTTGTATATTACTGCAGAGTTTTAGGAAAACGATCTTAGATCTTTTTATCAATCGTTATTGTATATTAATAATTTTGTTTAGCGCCTGAAATGATTTTGAAGATTAACTTCAAGGTTTTATGTTTGCAAATGAAAATCTAAATTCATTGCCAGTAGTATTCTAAATATAAAAGTTTGTTCTGGTTTTTGCCTAACTATCATATAGCTATATGGCAAGTTTCTACTTTGCCGTATGTCGTCTCTGGTTCGAGGTCTTCTTCCAATTCCGGGTAGTTCTGTTATGGTTCGGAATATTGGCTCTGATCTATTGAGTCGTAGAGACATTTCGATTAAATTATTGTCGTATAACATTTTGTAAATGTTTTTGTCTAATTTCTAATCTATTTTGGTTAATTCTAAGCTATTAAGGTCTTGTTCGAGACTTATGGTCGCACCAGATGAGTTAGGACCGAGTTGGTTAACTCATAGAGTAATTTCGGATAGGGTACACCGTCTGCTCGTCACGCTATCTTATTTTCGGCCGGATAGATTCGTGCAACTTCTTAGTCTAATACCGATCCTAATCTTACTCTTATACTATCTAGTCTCAGGTTGTTTAACTAGTCTCTGCTAGGCTCAATAGATCTAGGGTATACTGGTTTATTGCGGTTGCTGAAGTGCTCGGGAGAGTCCAACTAATTTCTAAGTTAAATTCAAATCTCTCTGGTGCTGAAATTACAAGTAACTTCAGCACTTACAAATAAGTGGGTTGTTAGTTAGATGGATCATGATTGGTTAATATTAAATACTTTACATTGGTAAAATATCTAAATTATCCAATCATAAAATGTAGTTTAGATCAGGTTCCATTTCTTGTTAATTTTTTAAAGCAGCCAGGCGCATTTAGAAAATTATATGGTCAATCAACCAAAGTGGAAGTTTGAAAATAGTACACAAGAGGAACCGCCCCTCCCCTCCCTTAAACCGCTTTTGGATGTATGCATGTGTTGCTTAAATTTTGCTTCCTTCATATATATGGCTATCTATTCGCGCGTCTCCAGGAAAATTTAAATCTATATTTTTAGCAAAATATATGCTTATATATTTTAGCAAAAATTAATGATTATCTTGACAATGTATGTTGGCGTTTTGTCAAGAATTTTGCAACATCAATGTTTCATCTTGCAAGCCGTAGGCTATCAGCTAGGGGTCTTTATTTGCATACATGGTGAAGAAATGTATTCTAATTTTAATTTCAGAAAAGAGCTGGCCAAGCATTGGTTGGTAGGTGAGGGAAATTCTGATGAGTTGACTCGATGATTAAATAATAGCAAATACCATGGATTTTTTTTTCTTTTTTTTACGCTTGCAATTAGGAAGCGTTATCAAATCGGAATATAGACCTTTTTGGGTTGACAACTAGTTTTGAAAAATCACTGAATTATTTGTGCAGCATTCAAATTTGCAGCAAACATGCTAAATTTTTTGATAAATTAAATTTAATTACTGGCTGCGAAAACTAGTACTCGACCTATTGTTTTTCTGCTGATGTTTTGTCGGCCTAGTTGCCACCTTTTTGTACATTTTTAAGGTGTAAACTAATTTTATTGAAACACTTAGTGTTCCTCACATAATTTCATTTTTGTTTTCTTTTGGCTTAAAAACTTTATTCGACCTAAATAGCCTCGGCGTATTTTTATCGGCTTATGGGCTCAAACATGAAACGTATGAAACAGAAGTTAGATTTTCATAATTTTGCGTGTTTTCGAAAAAAGAGCGCCGAAAAATTTAGAGTTTCAGAAGTTATAGCTCAGAACTTTAAATATATAACTTCTTTTTTTCATGTTTCTGCGCAATTGGTGCGCAAAGTGTTTTCGGATTACTTGCTGCTCGGTTAATTTTTGTAAATACTTTTTTGCCGGTGGTTGTGTCGGACGTGCTCTCCTCCTCAAATTGCACATCATTCGAGACAAAAACTTGGAAACTTTTGCAGATGTAATTATTTTGATTTTTCTTTTAATTTTCCCTATGTTTGGTATTGCAAGTGGCGAGAAATTCCGCTTCGCCTCTGTGTGTAATTATGTAACCACATAAAGTTATGCAATCTTACAATATTACAATTCAATACTGTTAGCGCTGAGACGGCAAAAGACTGACAGAGCTGCTGGTTTCAACAGTCATGTCATTTTCTTGCAATGTTTTTCAGGCATCTGATTTTACAAGTTTGCATCTTTTTTTTTTTTACTTTTTCAGGAGATTTGCCAAGTAAAATGCGCAATTTATTAAGTAAAAATGCGTGATTTTTTTGAGTGTTTAATTGTAAAGATGTGACCTCGGGTGATGGTCCCGGTGACATCTGCAGTTGTGCAAATGAAGATGAGAGAGAAGAACTGTCCCCACCGCCAATGCCAATGCCTCCTCTGATTGGATCATTCAAGTGGCCAATGAGATTGCTGTGATTGTGATTGTGAGATGACGTCACAGAGAGGTGCCTGGCTAGCGGGAGAGGAGGAGGCCGAGGTTTCTGGTAGTTTCTCCGGTTCAGTGTACTTCTGAAATGGAAAATGTAAAAACTTCGAAGAAAAAATGTATATTTCTGCAAACATTATTGTTGCTTTTTTTGATAAGTTAAAAGACATATTGCCTTATTCGAACCCGTATTACTCAAAATTAAAGGCTGTACAAAGTTTACCAAGCATATTTCATTCTAAATATGTTGGCGTCCTTTTACCCTGAAACGCTCAGTATCTCTAATAATTTTCCTTTTTTTAAAAAATAGATATAAAATCAATAATAACAAAAATTACAAGAAAAAACAACTCACATGACGTAGTCGTGATGTGTAGGCGTAGGCGGCAAAAGAGGCATCACCGAAAGAGGATTGTTCCCCCCATTTCCCATTGAGCAGAAACTGGATATAGAGTGGGAGGAGAGGTGGGGGTTGTTGTAGTGAGAAGAGGACCCCCCAGCTGGATTGGGGTGGTGCAGGGATACGTAGCTGTCGTTCCGGTTGACATACATCATATCCAGACACTTTTTCGGCACCCACCCTTCTTGTGCTGGCAACTCGTCTAGACGGAAATTGAGAAACTAACGAAATAAGGAAGCTTGAGAAACCAGCTTAATTATTAAGAGAAACCAGCAAAATTGAGAAGCCAACGGAATTAAGAAACTTACTTATTAAGAGAAATCAACGAAATTGAGAAACCAACGAAATTGAGAAACTTAATTGTTAAAAACTAACTTAATTTTCAAAATCGGCATCTAAATGTAAATCTTTGGAAAAAGCTCAGAATTTCTTAGATGAATTCTGAAAAGAAAACAGAATATTGTTACATTTTTTGTTTTATCTGTTTTTTTCTTGCTGAACGCTATCAGCTTGCTCAATATACTCATACTCGCCAATTATTATAGATTTAAAATGAAAAATTATAGATTTTATAGATTTTTTTGAGAGCCATGTCATTTGCCATTTTTTAATGAGCCGATTTTAATCATATACACGAAAAATACATGCCTTTGAACAAAGTTTTCGACGAAGTTTTCGATTTTTTTTGAAAATTCGCCCCCTCCTTGAGAAAATCTTAGACCCGCCCCTGGTTACACATATTAAACTAGGTGCGACTCCTCGGCCGATTCAACTATTTGGTTCCAGCAGTCACCATCTGGGCATTCTTGACCTTTTATTGCTGGCAGTTACTGACCGGAGCTGGGTTTGTAGACGAGGTAGTTTTCGTTCTTGCTGCAGTCCAGTACTATGACCCCATCCCCCGCACTCACACTGATCTCGTCCTCACTCCTAGCTGTGTAGCCCCTCACGATCATCATCTTAGCCGGCAACTTCAGTCTACAAATAACAACAAAAGAGAGGTCAAATTATTAAATCACACTTGAATTTAAATGAACTATCCCATAACAAATGAATGGACTTGAACAAAAATTATTTATCCCATAACGCATGAATAGAGCTATAGTGATTGTTTCTACTCTGAGGAAACGGAACCGAACCTGTTGGTTTCGACGTTAACCGACACTCGTGAGCAGTTGAATTCGGAAGCGAGCGAGTCGGCCGACTTCAAACGATTCCTGTTCGTGTCAGCCAGTGCCAGGTAGTTCTGACTGCCTCCTAGTCTGCTGGAACCGGCCGAATATCCAGGAGCGGCCGAGAGTAGTGAAGCGTAGCCTCCGTTCGTATTTCCACCGAGGGAACTCTGAGAAACTGTGGTACTTCTTTGTCGGTCTAAAACATTCGTAAAAAAATTTTATGCATACGTTCGGGCAAAAACATTAAAAAAACATTGTCCGAAGATTTCAAATGGGCTCTCAAACATTAATTCCTAGTAGATCAAGTAGGAAGAAATAAGATAAAAATTGAATAACTACAAAACGCCACTTTTAGAGTACAGCTTAAGAGAACGGGGTCCCCAGCAATCATATGATCGCGGGTTCAAATCACCGGTGCGCTTCAATCTGCAAGGCGAGCTCTGTTATGATAGCCATATCTTAACAGATCCATGATTAAGTGAGGTAGCTCTAGATCAACCCTGAAATGATTACTGCCCCGGGTTAGGCATCTGGATGACTGGAAAAAAGAGAAGAAAAAAGTTTTGGGCAATAATTTTAAATCAATTTATTTCCTTTCTCGTTATTTCAAAACTCCAACTTTTTATTAAAAATACTACGTGAATTCACCTGGGCCTCAAAGTTTTCAATTTCTACCTCAAAAGTCGGCTTGTCTTCTACTCTGAATAAAATCACTAAATCAAAATTCGTTCAAAATCAATAAAGAAATGTTTCAATGTGTCTAGAAACAATAAATCTAAAGCTCCACTATGTCAAGAAGAAAAGGAAAATTAAATTTGGCCTCATTTCAGGAGAAAATTTATCATATTTGAGCGCTTCAGACAACCTCGGCTCTCAAACAAACAAGCTATTTTCACCGACCTGATTTGCGGCGAGACTATTTGTGTTGAAAGAAAACTACACGGCGTGTAGGAACTAGACTGAACTAATAAATATAATTTTTCGTTAGGTTAAATTTGGTTTAGCTTTCTGTCAATCATTGACAAGACAATATTTTTCGCAATAATGTTTTCGTAGATAATCGTCAAAAACAAGGATTGGCTGTTGAGTTTTCAAACATTCAGAACTTGGATTTGACTGCGAAAAATTCAAATTTTTTTGAAAAATTTTCTGACTGTATTATAATCACCGAGCAGAAGCAAAAAAAGTTTGAAACGGATTTTTAAACTTAAAACATTATCGAAACTCTCACGAGTTTTTCCTTTTTATTCTTACCTGTCTATCAGGCACTTTTTCTTTTACTGGGAAAACTTTTTCGAAGCTCCAGCTTGGAATACTAATTAAGTAGGGGCGGAATATCGGGGGCTGAATTGGGCGGGGGACGACGCAAAAGTCCAGCTTTGGTAATTTCACCTTTGGTATTATTTTATGACAGCCAGACGACGAACTAAAACTTTTCTAAAAGCTCCTTTGGCTCCAACAAATAATATTTTTGAAGGGTCGACATCTAAAAAAAAGTGGACAAGGTTTTCGAAGTAATGTTTTTCAAAATCGACCAAAAGTTTAGATAATCTAGTTCAGAATCCGTCCAGCTCGTCTAAAAAGGGTGTTCTACAAATAAACACAATGCACCTAATTTTCTAGTATATTTGAACGTTTATTTCAATTGAAACTTGTCGTGTAATATTTTCTGGTTGTTTTGCACTTCGTTTGCTGTTATTATTCTCTGGAAAATGAAAATTTTGAGTTTAAATAATAAACGGATCTGCAATTCATGCCAAAAGAACTAAAAAATGAAAACGTTTTCAACTTTTCAAATTTTTGAAATTTACGTTTTTGTCTTTTGGCTTACTGTTTTTCTTACCTGTCATGTAATTTTAGTTGCCGTGCCTCCAAGAAATTCAAAATAAAATGTTGCAACGAAAATTTTTAAACTACCACTGTGAACAGTGTTATATAATACTGCGGACATAATAGTGATAACATAATCTCAAAAAGATTTGTTATTCAACTAATGTATAAGAGTTCATTTGCTAATGTATAAAAAGTACATGAACCTCATTGCTCTGGATTTTTTCTCCAGGTAAATCAATCGAAATGAAAAAAGGCTGAAAAATTTTAAAAAGTTGTTTTGCTTACTGAGATTGAATTTCCTCGGAACTGTTTTTTAATGATACACAAAAGAATTACAATGAAGTTTCTTCTAGCCTAACAACTGATGAAATTAATGGAATGTAGCGCTGAAAAAATTTTGCGGAACAATTTTTTAAAATATACAACTTTCGTCCCTTTCTCCTTAGTTGGATTGTTTCTGGAGAAAAATGGAAGTAGAAAAAGTAATGAAAATGTCATGTCCCTTCTTTCGTATAGAAATCAGAACGTACTTTCACTATAACTTGGGTTCATTATCGGCTCGAATTGATCATCGAAAATAAATTATAATTTTCATCGACAAAGTTTAAAAGTTTGTGAATTCCTTTTGTCTGGCTCCCAAGAATTTATGTAGATTAAGACAGGGGTGGATTTAATTTTTTTTGAGGGGATATTTTCAAAAAAAAATTCAAAAATATCAATGAGCTTTTGTTTGGGTTAACCAAAATGATGAGTTCTCCAAAAACACGATGAAGATATTATTTCGACAAATTTATCCTTTAAAAACTGGTCAAAATGGTCGTCTTTGGGCAGTTTTCAGACGTTTTGGCAAACAATCACGTTTTCCGGCGCCCGCTGCTCCTCAAATTTAGTTTATATTGGTGCCAAAGGCGCATTTATAAACAACTTAGGGTCAGTTGGTCTTAAAATAGTACCCTTGGGTGATAAAGAGGTCGAATTGCGAAAGAGCGTTGGATGATGGGTCAAGTTTTGCGCATATGAGAAAAAGACTCTTCATTGTATCTAGGAGATATTTTTAGCATCCGCAACAATTTTTCCAAAAAAAAACGATAATTAAAAGCAACTGAATTTAAACAGTTCAGAAACAACCTCTAATTTTTATTCTAGCAGAAGCTCGTAGGCAATATAAACTTGACTGAGGGTTGTCTGAGAATTTTTCTATGAAACATTACGAGGCCAAACTGTGCACTGGATAAGCGCAAAATTTTGTGTCTGCATGTTCCTGGATTCCAAAGTCAAGTTTTTAAACATGTTGAAATTTTATCGGGGCAAAATCAACAATGGCAGACCAAATTTGCACACTTAAATGGGCAGAAACATTTCAACTCAATGATATATGGCGATAAAAGTAAGGGTGAATATTACAAAACAAAGTCTATAAAGTGAAAAGACAAAAGAAAAACAAATGGAGCGTCCTTGTTGCGGAATCCGATTATATTCCCCAAAAAGCACAATTTGGCCTCGTAATGTATACATCATCTCCGACATTTTAATTAACTGTTTTTTGCATAAACTGACAAGATACCATCTGAAAAATTTTAGTGTACTGAGCTCGAATTAAATTTTTTTACCTGGAACTACTTTTTGTAAAATTAGGAGAATGGTTCAAACATTGTCAATATGGAATTATTGCGACATTTTCACTAGTTTTTTAACTACGCCTAGTGAATGCGGCTAATTGAGTGTTTCCAAATTGATTAAATGCAGTTTATTTTATTCAAGTTACTTGCTACTAGATGAAAAAAAAATCACATTATATTGAAAATTGCGAGGAAGATAGAAAAACTAGAAAAAACTAGAAAACTTCTAAATTGTTTTCGAAAGTTTGATGAATAAGCGTAGAAAACTATCGATGATACTGAAAAGAAAGTTTAAATAATCACGTATTTGCGAGCAGATACGAGCGGCTATAACTACATGAAATTCCAAAAAAATGCAACACAATTTTTTAAGTAAGGGTTGATATATCTAAAAAAGGGTTAATATATCTACTAAACATTTCTAACAAGTTCTGGCTCAAAAAATCTGGAACTAATTATCAAATAACGAAACTCCTTCTCCTAATATGGATTGTTTCCCAACGTACCATAGCTGCTTAACTTCGTTTATCAAATCAAATCTAAAGGGCTTTAACAAACAAGAACATAGCCAAATACAAAAATTCCTTACTAGTTGGGAACAAAAACAACAATCATAAGAAAGAAAAAACTCTATTTCAGAATAAGTTAACAACATCTGAGAAGATGAGCTTAAAAATGTTGAAATTGAAATTGTTGAAATTGTTGAATTTTTCAATTTGCCTCAAACTGCACTAGTGCTTATTTTACTAACTTGTAATAGGTGGCTTTGATTTCATTTTCTGCTTAACAGTCGTCAGTGTTGCATAATGGTGACTGGGATCATATGGATTACTCCGAATGTCAACTCCGAAAGCCAAGTTGGAGGATGCCAGGGCGGCAGTCGAGACGCCGGCTGCATAGTTCTGGGAGTAAAGTCCCTGCATAGGAATACCAGGATCCGTGGATCCATTTTGCATGTAGTTCCTCTGATGTTCAATAGCTGCAGTCTTCCGAGAACTCCGCAACGTCGTCAGGGATCCAAGTATTCCTCCGAAGTTCTTCCTCGAGGGTTTCGGTGTTGAGGCACTGCCGTCAATATCTCGTTGCTCGGCACAATAACAACTTGGCAAACTACCGACGTTGCATTCTTTGCTATGTTTTGAGCGGGATTTACTTCGTTTTGATAGTGTCATTCTGGTTAAGATTACTATTTTATTACACTCCTTTTAGATGCTAGTTTAACATGTAAAAATGGGCAAAATCAACAATGGCAGACCAAACTTGCACACTTAAATGGGCAGAAACATTTCAACTCAATGATATATGGCGATAAAAGTAAGGGTGAATATTACAAAACAAAGTCTATAAACTACATGAAGATATCTATTATACGATAAATCTTGCCAATTACACGAGCCAAGTTCGGCAAGTGACTTTGAAGGTAAATTTGATCAGAGCCCGAAAAGATGCCACAATCCGTTAACAGTAAACTTTCCCGAGGCTTGGAAAGTCGTAGAATTGTAACTTTGTTTAGAAAAGAAATAAAACTAATTCTTACGAAAATGCAAGCGTACCTCCAATATCGAAGCAGCTTCGGGCATTAAGTAAACATGTAAACAAACAACAAGAGCTGAGTTTATCCAGAAGCTTTTTTCGTTTTGAAAAAGCCCACAATTTGCCCAACCTCAGACAATTTTGACGCAAAATTGGTTTCCAACTTGAAGACTCGCGACGCTAAACGAACTGACATTTGGGTACCGTGGTTATAAATGAAAAGTTTATATAAATTAAAACTTATTTCGCTTTTCTAAAATCACTATAGTGTAATTGACTTTCTCAAAACTTAGTTTACAATTAAAGACGCGCATTTTCCGCCGGAAAAGTTGAGATCGTTGTCCGTGTCAAGCTGTTTTGAAACTCACAGGGCGTTCTTACAATGACAGAGCATTGGTAATAAGAAGCCAACGAGATAGCAAAAACAAAGACAGATTTATTTAGCCTCGGGCTGAGGATATTAACGTTGCCTTACACATAGATTAAACAATTCACTCGTTTGTAGAAATTTCTCTGGCCGGTTAATCGAGTTCAAAAATTTCAATTTGTCGAGCAATGATCCCGCGTGATCAAAAAGCTGAACATGTTGTTTTGAAGGCCGATTTCTTTTTCGTGCGGGATTATGTTTTGCGCGGGACCAACAACTGGTTGATTTTCAAATATTGATAGGGCAAACGTTTTTCAAATATTGATATTGATTCATCTGCTAGTTAACAAAAAAACACATCTGAGTTAGAACGAAGGTGTCGACTGCCCTTAAATAGTTTTGATGTAGTTTTTGACAAAAACTGGGGAAAAAAATCCAGTGCAAAACAGACAAAGTACTGTGTCTGTTAAATCAACTTTTAAACCAACTAGCATGCCTCAGAATAAATTGTTAAAATGTTCGAAGCTTGATCAATTCAGCGCATACTTAGCGTGATGCAAGACAACTGCAAATTCTGCGCACACGTAATTATCCCAAATTGACCATTTCAAACTTCTTTCATTTCTCAAAAACGGTCGTGAGTGAAATAATTTTTCAAGTTTTGAGCTCGAAATTTTTTCTTTAAGGTTCCAGTCGAGATCGAACGGACTTGAAAATGATACCTGCTTAGTCACCATCTAATCTTCAATTTATTCATTTGACTTTGCTCTCTTTATTCAACTTAAAACTCATGTTCATTCAGGATAAACTTCCTATTCAGAGTATTTATTCGAAACCAAGCAATAAAGTGATTCAAGCAACTAATTATTCAATTCTAAAACAATTTAATTATTGTTCAAACAACCAAGTTTTCATTCTAAACCCTCAGCAAATCTCACCATCTAATCTTCAATTTATTCATTTGACTTTGCTCTCAGTTGAAGCAAGAAGTATCTAATGTAGTTGAGTAGGTAGCAGTGAATCTTCGACCAACGATGCTTTAAAACTTGTTTTCAAAATTTTCAGAAATATATTTTGCCCTACTGTAGGGCAAAATGAAAGGGCAAAATGTATGTCTGAAAATTTTGAAAACAAGTTTTAAAGCATCGTTGGTCGAAGATTCACTGCTACCTGCTAAACTACATTAGATACTTCTTGCTTCAACTGAGAGCAAAGTCAAATGAATAAACTGAAGATTAGATGGTGAGATTTGCCGGGGGTTTAGAATGAAAACTTGGTTGTTTGACAATAATTAAATTGTTTTAGAATTGAATAATTAGTTGCTTGAATCACTTTATTGCTTGGTTTCGATTAAATACTCTGAATAGAAAGTTTATCCTGATTGAACATGAGTTTTAAGTTGAATAAAGTTTATCTAGCAAACAGTATAGATATCGGAAGAGAATGAACACGCTCTGCGTGGTATTAAGTATAGTTTAGCACAATGACCTCGGTTAGTGTAATTAACATCAATCTGCAGTGAGACTGCAAAAGAACAAGTAAATAACGAGGTACCGAAGGTCGCCTCACGACATTCCCCGCGGGAGAAAATTTTGAGAGACAACCCAAAATTAGAGAGATAATAAAAACTGCACCAAAACGAGCAAATGATTGATAGCCCCCCTATCCCACTCAAATGCTGAACAGTTAACCAGAAAAAATCATGATAACATGAAAGAATTTGAATGAGTTTAGAAGAGTTTTAGAAGAGTTTTAAGCTTGACACAAAGTCAATCCTTTCCAGTAGTATCTTTTGCATGATGGAGAGGGGGAAAAGTCGTCGTTGAAGGTCCAGGTGGAAAACGATTCCGAATAAGGGGTTTTCGTGGTGAAGACGAGGATACTATCATCGTTTCGGAGGGCAAAGTTGGGTCCTCCTCAAGTGACTTGACAGAATGCCGCAACGGAGCGCCAAAAAACTGAGTGAGCTTCTTGCTACGATGTGACGTCCGGACTGACTCGGCGTCGTCAACCACTGGTTGAGCAGGTAGAGAAAGCGACGGGTAGGAGGAGGGCAGTTCTGATGACTCCGAGTGAGAGGGAAGAACCAGACCCTGTGGCGACATCATGTCCGGTGAATAGATAGTAATTCCAGATAGAGTAGGATTAACACCAGGAAAATCAGCAAGTTGAGCGGTCGAAGAAGAGGCAGCACAATGTGAAGTCCGCGGTTGAGGCGAAGTTAACGAACTGTCAAGGTGTGCGGTAGATTCGGTTGGTAACGAGCATGTAGCTGTCGTTGAAGTGTGGGGCTGCGATGTAGAGTTAGACTGAGGAGCAAATCTGACCGGAGGTGAGTCACACTGAAGCCTCTGACGTTTTACGATAGGAGAAGAATCATTAACCACTTGAAGACCACCGTTGGATCCAACTGAGCTTTCGCTGTAAGAGTTAACTGTGAGGTCCACCATCGGAGAAGAGAGGGTTGGGTTGTTTGGCCGCTGATCTAGTAGCACCGGCTGAGACCGTGTAGCGGGCCTTTTAGCAGCATCCCGAGAGGCAGAAGTAGCATTCCAAGCTTGAAGTCGATCACCTAGAGTGTTGGGAGCAACTGAAACGGTAGACCGATAATTAGGTTTGAGGCAGATGTGATTTTTCCGGTAAACTTTCCCAGTGTCGGTAACATAAGTATGATCCGTAACACGAACAATCTTAAATTTAGTCAGTTTATAAAGAGGTTTCCCTGATTGACGATCGATAATTTCCCTAAAGACCTTAACTCGACTAGGATCAGACATCAGAAGGTTTTCTAATTTACTTGTTGTCGAGAGACGACGAGGTTACACAGCTGGTGCACAGCTGGTTACACAGTGGAGCTAAATTGTGCCCCGGAGGTGTAACTATCGCCGGGAAGCGTACAGTGTTGTGATTGAGTCCTGACTTAAGGGAATGAGGGAGGTCCGAATGCCGGGTTGCTAACTCCTTGAGGACCTTTTTCCCCCCATCCGGTGGAAGTTTGCGTTTGAATTGCAATCAATTATTCGCCGCCCGAGCGAGTTCCGCCAACGGCTTGTAGGGTTCACTATCTGCCACATTTCCGTCCAGCGAGAACAAAGGTTTGAAGCGGGAAGGAACTGTTGGACTAGTGCTGCCGCGAGGAACAACTTTTGCCCTGTCCCTGCTGTAATCTTGACTGACATTCTAGTCTGGCGTAAGGAGGTTGCGCTCCAGTCCTTGGGCTGAAGTATCAGATTTAACAACATTATTACGCGCCTCAGACCATTCAGTATTAGATTTACGACCAAAATGCAATTCAAAAGGTGATTTCTTAAGCACCGAATGATTACTCTTGCGAATGTCCTCAAGTATTTGTTGGATCGAGAGGACATAATCAATACCTCTGCTAGAGCAAAACTCTTGCACCAAGTTGTTTTTAAAACCTGAGCCGTGATCCGTTCTGATAGAGTGAGGTAGACCATGGATACGAATGTAAGAATCAAGGAATTTAGTAACCTTCTTAGCCCCAGTAGTTTTAGAAATAAGAACTGAAGGAAACTTAGAGAACCGATCGATTGCTACCAGAAGAAAGATCTTAGCCCCTTTATTATCAAGTATAGGATCAGCAAAATCTAGTTATAATTCCTGATTTGGTTCAGACAAAACAAGCAAAGGTTGCGCAGTGTTCAAAATTGACGCGGGTTTAAGATTCTTACCAAACAAGGTGCATTCGCGGCATTTGTGGCACGTATCAATGATCTGACGGTTCATGAATGGCCACCAGAGGTATTCAGAGGCCGCTATCATGGCCTCTTGTCCCGGGTGAGATCGGTGAAGACGAGTGAGCACTGCTTGTCGAAGAGGTTCTGGTATGGCCAACTTATTGTCGATAACTACAGTTATTAACCACAGCTGCTTTAGGCCAGAATTGGGCCATATACGAACCAAGCTTGTTGAATGATATGATGTCCTTATTTATGATAGCTCGTTTCATAGGGCCAAGAAAACGATCCTTCTCCGTCAACTCCGCCAGAAGGTCTGCATCGAAGAGGCCAGGCAGTCCCACGATTTCCTTCTTTGACGAGGAAAGAAGAGGTTTGCCCCCATTGACAACGAGTACTCCAATCTTTGCAGCTGTATTGATTTTTCCTGGCTTAGTTAGGCGGCACCGTCGCATCGCCTCCAGTAGCTGGGTGTGACCATCTTTTCGAACTGTAGTCCTGGTGGCAGCATAACGGGTTTTAGCAGCCCGTTCACGGGTTCCGTTTCCTTGGCGTATTTCATCCAACTGAGAGATACGGTTCAGTTGACGAGATCGTATTAGTGGCCTTGGACTGGGTCGGCAAAAATTCGGAGAACTTATCGGAAAAGACTCCACAAATGTCAGTAAATCAGCCTGCTCGGCAGTTGAGTTAAGTATTGTCTGATGGTCAGGTTGAGTGATAGTAGCGTTCTAGTCGATAGTATTGAGTCCGGTAGTAGTTTGTTTAGCGCCAGGCGGTTGTGTCATGATGAAGAAATTTTGATTTAAGAATAAAGAAGATGAGATTAGATGACTGTTTTGTAGAGATTCAGGTCGGATACAGTGAATTTTTGAGACACCAACTGGTCTGCGATAATCAATTTGATACCAGTTTCTCATTGGTTGAATTCGTGGCAAAAAACGCAAACAATCCATTTGC